CAGAGGAGCTGCAGTGCTGCTGTGGTCGCCTTTCTGCTGCCAGCTCCCATTCTCACCTTTCCTGGCTTGGACTCATCGTCTGGCTTAAGGAGCAGCTCAGAGTAGGGTTCCTGAGGCTGCCGTTTCGGTATCTGGTTTTGGCACTGGAAGGATTTAACCAAAGCAAACTTCACTTGAGTTTGGCAAATTCTGCAGTCGCGTAAGCCAGGGCTTGGAATAAGTTTTAGCTTTGGAAATAAGCATGGACAGAACAGTTGGCGAGTGCCAGGGCTTAGTTGGGTAATTCACGTTTGGTCTCTTAACCAAGCCTGGTTCCCTGCCTTTGCAAGGGGAAAATAAAGCGGTGCTTCGATGGCTTGCCGCCTGGGAACTGCCTCTTGCTCGGCTGCGGGAAGAGCCGTGCGGCAGTGCCCGACCGTGTCGCGGCTGTGCGGGATGGGGCATGGGTGCGAGCACCCGGCATGGCTCCAGGAGGGCGGCTGTCCCGTCCCATCCCTCCTCCGCTGGTTGGCTCCATCTCTGCTCAGGCACCTTTCCCGGCACCATGTGCAAACCAAGGAGCAAGCCTCATCTTCGAGCGCTCTTTTTTTTTTTAATGTTATCCCTGTTCCTTCCATTTAAATGTGGATCTTGTAATTACAGAGCGCAGAATCCCAGTTTTCAGAGATCTGTGACCACAATAAAGTGAATCCAGAAACCAGACGAGTGGTTTCATTTACTACCATTCTAGCTTATTTCCTCCCCCCACGACCGCTGTGCAATACTAAAGGCTTGGCAGCAACTGAAACCAGCTGTCAAAAATGTTTCTTACCCCCACACTTTTAAGTTAATGATGTTCTAAAATTAATGGTGCACTAGACTAATTCTGTCATCTCATTTTGATGGACTCTCGGTCTCTTGCAAGCGATGTTTGCCAACTGGCTTCTTTGTTTTGAGGCAGTGTGCTGAGGAAGTGGATCCCCAGGTGCCAGGTACTGTACGTATACATACATTGAAAAGTTGGTGTTTTTCATCCTGAAGTGTTTACAGCTTTAATTTGGTTGGTATATTGTGGTTCACCAAACAAGCTTTCAGGCACGTAAACCAGTAACTTTTAGGAGCGTCATGTGCAAGACAGCAGTGGATGAGGTTTTCCACTTCTTGGAGCTGTGGAGGTGTCAGCCAGCATCTCGTGTCTGGTTGTCACATTGCGCTGGAAGTGGCTACGGCCCCATGCTGGGCAGAGAAGAGGCACAAGCCTCGGCGGCGGGGAAGAAAGTGTCCTGTTGTGGTGAAAAGCTGAAGGAGCTGAGTTTGATTAGTTGAGAGAAAGGAAAACTGGGAAAGGAGACAAAGATCTTCAACTGCATGACAGCAGCAGAGAGGATGGAAATTAGCTGTTCTCTGTGTTCTCTGTCTCCACGTGGATAGGACAAGAAGCTGTTGGTTTACATGGTGGAAAGGAAGATACAGGTGAAATGTAAGGAAAAACCTTCTAAATGTACATATGGAGGAACACTGGGTTGAATATCTGGAGGGGGAGGTGGAGTCTCCATCGCTGCTTAGACAGGCATCTGTCAGAGGTGATTCTCACACAGTCAGTCCTGCCTTGGGGCAGGTGGATTTTCCACATTTTCTATACTTCCATGGCTTAGCCCTTCTTTTCTCCCATAATGCAATGCCTGGATTTATGGCAGGCGGCTCATCCAGCTTTCCCTGTTACTGAAATTTTGGAAGGAAGCTCTTCCCTCTGCCAGCTGTGTGTCCATTTGATTGCCCGCTGCGGTCTGAGGCTGCTGGTATCTCCTGGGAGGATGGTTCCCTGCTTCCACCTCTCCCTGGCTGGGTACCAGAGGGAAGACCGGGGCAGTTAATGTGTCACATTTCTATCCCTCACAAGGAAAGGATACCTCACAGTGTAGCTTCTGCCTGGTTTCCATTGTGGAGACTTGCTGTGGAAACCTAATTAGAGCAAATTTTGGAGCTGTATCCTGATGAAGAATAGAAAACGTGTCTGTATTATCCAAATACCTTTTCCCCCATCCCAAGTTATACAGCCCAGAGAATAAGGGAAATTCATAATGGAGATGAAAGTTGACATCTGGGTTCACTTTCTGTAGAGGATGTTCTCCATGGAGAACAGTGAGAGAAGCTGTTAACACCAGCTGCAGATTAGGGATGCAGCAGGGAATTATCCTGCCTGTGGAAATCAGTTTAGTTGGAAGGATCTTGTGGTGTTGGGCACTGCTGGGATGTGAATAGTGGGTAGGACTGTTTTTTTTTTTTCTTTTTTTGGATTATAAATACAGATGTGTTTTCCTAGTAAGCGTCAATAGATGTAAAGATAAGAGTTCCTGTCTATGTTCTAGTAGTATTTCTTAATAGACTCTCTTTAGAGTTTTGTCATGCTTTACAGACTTATAAGAGGAGTCCCTGTCCCAGAGAACTCATGCATTAAATAATCTGTGTAGCTATGGGGTAGGTGAGTGGAGAAGATATGTAAATTTGTTGGCCAAGCCTCGCCGATCTGCTTTTCCTCCTCCTTGAGCAAATAGAAACCATCATCCCGCATGCTTTGCATGCAGGAAAAAAAAGATGTTATACAGAAAAGGCGGTGTTTTCTGCTGGGTTGATTTGGGAGCTCCCTGTTCATTTGGACAGTGGTGCCCGTGTGTGGTTTGGAGCCATGGGAAGCTCTTGCAGAGCCGTTGTCTTCAAACCCAGATGAGCTCCATGCTGCCTCTGCCACGGGCACTGACAGCAGGAAGTATTTTCATCAGGAGTGATGTAGTTTAATGTAGTTTAAACTATGTTTTGCTATCAATTTTTGCTTTCCAGGAATATACTTGAGCTAGAATTAATCAGCATGACAATGTGGTGAAAACAATTTAACCCAAATATTTGATGATGTTTATGATTCCCAGCTGATACTTACAGTCTTTGTAAGTGTGACATGAAGTTTGCATCTAATGACAAGTCATGGCTAATTGCATTGTTTTTCCAACCAGAAAACAGAAATGACATCACATTTTAATTTGATTTAGAAAATCTGAATGGAATATACTTTGAATTTGCAAAATTTCTGGTTTTGACAATATGCAGATCAAAAGTTACTCTGTTGAAATTTGCCAAAAAAACCCAAACCCGCAAAATCAAATCCATGTTTTTTACTTGTCATTATCTGTCGGTGATGTTTCAAATGCCAAGGCAGGCAGCAGGAAAAAAAAAAAAATCCATTTTTTTAATAAACATTTCTGTTTACTCTGTATAAGCAAGGAAGAGGACCTTGAAAAGTAAAAATGGTAATTAGGTTCCAAACTACAACCTGAAGTCTGCAGGAATTGGGTACCTGTCTGTTTGTACCTATTAAAAAAAAAAAAAAAAAAATCCCTGCAAGAAGCCCTGCTGCTTTTATGTATTTGGAGTGGGCCATTTGGTTTGGTTTCCTTGGCATTTGTATCGCAGGCTTCTTCAGAGAAATAAATTCACAAGTGTTTGCCTGTCATCACATGACAAGTTATGGAGCCTAGATTGATGTAATCAGCAACAGACACACGTCAGAAAACTTAATGTGGTTCAGAAGAATACAATATTTTATTAATTCCTCATTTTGTGTGTGTCTCTGTGTGTGTGTGTTTTAAATGAGCCTCAGGGGGTTCTTAACTTCTGCCAAGAAATAAGAATAATTCGTACAAGTTTATGTTTAACTGCACCACAACTGTGGTGGAGAATAGCAAAGTTAGGTTGCCCTTAATGACAGATATCTTTATAAAGAACCACTTTTATTAAGAAAATTAAGACTTGTTGTGCATTTTAAAGTTACTGGTCTCTATACGTCAGTAGCCCTGTATGAAATTGTTGTTAAATATGTAGTAAAATATTTAGATTGAAGGATTGTAGAACTATTCGAACTACATGTGTATGAGTATAAAATTTGCACATCTATTCAGGACATTTTCACTAAGAGCAAATCTTTCTGAAAATCTTTAAAAGCCTGGGGTATTTTTTTGTTTTGGGGTTCTGGTGGGTTTTTTTTGGTTAGTGTAATGCAATATGCTGCAGATACAAATAATAAAGCCCTGATGTGGGATTGAAGCCATAATGGGAGTAAACACAAGCTGTCTGTTGAAGAACAGCATCTTAAAACTTGTTAACCATTGCATTTGATTTTTAATCGGAACTGGTAATCTTACAGAAAATCACTATGTTGTAGCTAAGGCTAAAGGTAATTTCAGTGAGAAGACCAGTTAAAAAAGCAAGTTAAATGAGGCGTCAGATTGGGGCAAGAATTCACATGAAAATGATACAGTAAGTGTGTATCACTTTTCCTGAGATGCTGAGGATTGGTGAGCATCTAGTACACAGCAGTCAGCTAGCAGATGGCATGGTGCTAGACTTTTCTGTGTTCAAAACAGAAAAAAACCTAATGAGTAGTTCACTAGGAAGAAGTAACTTCTTGCTTTTCAGCAGTGTGGACTTCCTCAGTGCAGAAGTGTGCATTAAGCTTTGTGTTTTTAACAACTTCAGTTGTTGCCTTCTGCCTGGGAAGTACTTAGCATGCTTTGGAAACCTAAATGAATAATCTTGCAGTGGAGCCTGGTTAAGCTGCACTATCGAGTAGGTTGTTCGCTCAGAGGAGTTTCTCAAGTCAGAGGGAAGGTGAGGAGCAGCCCTTTGTAAAGCCCAGTATCTGTTGTGATTTGGGACTGTGCTGTCTCTTCTGGGTATGCTGCTTTAGCATATTTATTGGAAGAAGGGTGGCCAATTGCTTGGAGTGCTAAATAACAGCTTAATTTGTCCAGAAACAAAGGAATTTTCTCTTCCTGCATTTCCAGGTAGCAACAATTTACCATCTAGTGCCTTAGAGTTGCATGCTACATGGTTCAGGCATGTTTCTATACTATGTGTTTTGAAACTCAAAATGTGTAAAGTTTGAAATAAAGCTAATATGAGACATAGGTTTCTACAATCGATCAACCAAGATTTTAATTTTTTTGCTTTTTCTTCATTTTGTTTTGCAGGTATTCCTTTGGTAAGTGAATAAAAATGAGAAAAAATCTGCAGTTATAATTTATTGGTGCATTTGTGGGTATGTAGATTTTACATTACTCTAGCTTGCTTTCTATATCTCTCTCTGTCAAACTTCTAAGTTACGATTGTCTCTCTTCTCTGCCTTTCACTGAATTTCTTTCTGCCTGTATGCCCTTAAGGAAAGGAAAACTGTAAATTCTGTAAATTGAGATTGAAGGAGACTTGGTGGAAGGGTTGTGTAAGTACCAACAGCAGCATTTGGAGGGTGACATTAAAGGTGAATAGTTAAATAAGCCTGAGGCAACCAAGCAAAGTGAGGTCTGAAGGACATCCCCTGGGAGGAAACCTGTTCCTCCTAAATTCCAATTCCTTTTCTACTGGGTGAATTGTATGAACATCAAAAACTTCTCACTCGTATCATCTGCTTTCACACTGGTGTGTGATATTGGTGCAGATATTACTCCTTTGGAGATCTGGAAGGTTGATTCGTGCTTTGTACAGGTTGGGTTTTTTTCAGCATTAGGTACTCTAACCCACAGCCGGAGTCTAAATGGAAAGTTAGAAATCCCGGTAGAAAACATTACTCTCTGTGGAAGGGTTAGGAAAACTGCTACTGTACTTCTGATGTTCTGGGAAGGACTGCCATGGCATAATGTCTTAAAACAGCCTATTTGGTCGTGTCTTCTCATCCCTTCAGCCAGATGCTCATGCTGTTGGATGGGTGGGTGGAGAAGGGTGCTGCATCATTGTGTGGATGAAAAGGGGATTCATGTTGCCAAGTTGTCACTAGCCAGTCACAAATAGAAATTTGGTTATTCTAATATAAGGCACAAGAATAGACAAAGTTCATTTGTGTCTTTATATTAGGGAGGCTTGCAAAAGAAATGACCGAGCGTGCCTCCCCCTTCTCCTTCAGGGAATTGCATCTGTCTCCTTGCTTACTAATTGATCATTTTAATCAGTTGTAAGTGAACGAACTGTTTAATGTATGTGGGATCACTGAGATGGTGCTTTACCAAGTGGAGAAGCAGAGCAGTATGGAGAATTGTTTCCACTCCTGTGTGGTTTTGTCATTGGATGTGGGTATTTTAATCAGCTGGACTTTACAATACAAATCCAGGCTTTTATTGGGTTTAGTGAGGACACCCATCTTAGTTTTAATTCAAGTTACTCATCTTCTCTATGTTTTTGCACTCTCACTGGTGGTTGTAGAAAAACTGCTTTTTGCAAGTGGTGTTTTATCTGTCTTTGGCCTTTCTTTATGTCCCAACTGGATAGCCACCCTATGAGGATTACTGAAGTCCTTTGTACGCAGTAGGGTCTCTCCCTTCCTTGTTTTTGGCTTAAGGGCTACTTCTGAGTAAGATGAATGAGATGTAAATCTTGAGTTACTTTTGTTAGAATACAGGAAAACCACAATATTTTTGTTATAATATAGCTGAAACAACAACATTGTCATCCATTGCTGTAGAAGTACATTAAATATTGCTGAGCTCTGGAAGCCTTATTCTTTGGTAGCGTCTACTTCAAAGCAAGATCTTAAAAAAAAAAAAAAATTCCTGGAGAGATCTTTGTAAATGCTGACTGTTTCCTATTCCCCTCCAGGAAGTGTGCTTTTTTTGATACACATTAGGATGGATTTTGGTAGCCTCTATTAAAATTGCAGGCTGTCCCTGTGAATTTTAAAGAACTCCAGAGTCTGGAAATAACAGCAAGCTGTTAGGCCAAATGGGATCAACTGGTATTGCCACAGGTTTTGCTCTTTGCTCTTACTCCTGTCAGGTAACAGTTATTAAAAACACTCCTCACTTCAGGGAATGAACTGCGAAACAGCCGTGCAAGGGCTTTCACGGTGCAAAGCACCGTCCGCGTTGGAGTATTTATCTTTGAAAGGTGAAGAGGTGCTCCGCAATGCAAATCCTGGAGCGGGCTTCAGCTTGGGGGTTAGGGCTGTTCTGAAATTAGCCGAGCTGTAATAACTTCTTGGCTTTATTTATTGTTATTCGGGTATAAATTTGGCTGTAGATTGAGCACGTGGCGGTCTTCCATCGGGTCCCTCCCCGTGGACAGGCACAGCTCAGGCGTGCGAGGCTCCTGGCCAGGGGACGGGAGCGCATGGCTTGATGGTCCCTTTTCTGCCCTGCTTTTGGCAGTGCAGTGCTCTGGTTGTTGAGCATGGACTGTACTCTGGTGGGAATGCTTGTTGGCCGGACTATGCTGGATTGCTTTGGTTCTTCCTAGCTGAGCTGAGGCTGCCGGGAGTCTCGGGGATGGATGGATGGATGGATGTGCTGCCTGTCCTCGGTGGAGCACGGCTCCGGGGCCAGAGGCCAGGCTGCCTCTGGAGAGCTGAGCTTTTGTGGCAACTTCGTCCTCAGCCTAAATCTCCTCCTTGAGCTTTGGTGTACCAAGGGCTTTCCTCCATGGCTGTCTCTGTTCAAGTCCCTTTCTAGGTGCCTTGGTGACCTGTGTGTGCTACCGCGAGCCAGCTGGCCTTGCTCAGCACCTTTGGTCCTGGCTCAGCTCCAGAAATGGCAGGTCTCCCTCTCTCTGAAGGATGCAGCTGCGATGCTGGGACTAGAAGGAACCAGCAAGGTCAACTTGTTATTTTATCCTTCTTTAAAATGAAGGACATCTTTTCTCCTGGCTTAGAATGAGACCAAAGCTGCTTCAACAGATTTGTGGTGTTGACAGCTTTGCTGTTTCAGACCCTTTCTGGGCAAGGGTGCGCTCCCCTAGAGCAGTAGTTCCTGATGATGCTTCTGTCTGAGATACCCCCAAGGATGTTTTTTTCCAGTGGAAGCCTGATTTAATATAGTGATTTATTATTTCTGTTCTAACAGAGGCTTTGAAAAAAATTATGCTCTTTTACAGGTTTTCTTGTCCTCTTTCTTCTGCCTTATTACTGTGTTAAGTAGCCCCAGATATTCAGAAGACAGTTTGATGGCCCTAAGTCTGTCCCGAGATACTGGTCAAATGAGATACCAGTGGGGAGCTGAGAAGAGCTCCAGAAAAGCTGCAAAGATCGCATGAGTTGTAATGAACAGCCACATCTCTCTGTAGAGTAAAAATCCAGGTGTGATGTGGGAAAATGATGTAACTGTCCAGGGAGATTCTGACTCCACATCGTCACCTCCATGGCTGTCGGATACCTCTCGGAGCAGCAATCTGGATTCCCAGCAAGGAACACACAGAAAAGACAGAAATGCGTCTGTTTACCTTTTGGCAATCAATGGGATCACTAAACGGAAAGGATTGAGAAGCAGCTGATCTTATTTGACTCTTGATGCACAAAAGTGTCCTATTTGGAGCCAAAGCAAATGTTTCCTTGGGGATTGTTCCAGAGCGCCTTGCTTCTGCACTCTTTGCAGGCCAACTGTATGGCTAGAATTAGAAGCATATTTTAAAAGTAAGAGCTTTTTTTTCCTCTTACAGTAAACTTTCTTGTTAATTTTGGTATGGAGAGAAGACAATCACTGAAGGTTGAATTAAACTCCTAGGTTTTTTCCATTATCTGTAAACATGGAATAAGCAAATAATTTAGTTCATACCCATGCCTGTCCCCAAATTTTATATTGCATCTATTATCTTCAGAATTTAAGATGAAGTGTGTTTTGATTAGAAGTAGAATAAAAAGTTGAGAGCCGAGCGTACGTAATTCTCCATTACTTTTTAAATCCTCACTCTTTACTTCAATGCAAATTGTTCCAAGGAGGATTTTCTTTTAAAAGGTCTTCAGGGATCTTGAATTTTAGATGTGCATTGGCATAAAATTAAATGTTAGAGTGCACAGCTGGGGTTCTGGCTTTTGCTGTACAAGATTGAGATGTTTCTCCTTTGTGAGTGCATGTTTCCAAGGAAGGAGAGACGTTTTCATATTAGTTGCACTATACTAGTGAGCAGTGCCGCGGTCACAGAAGAACGTGAGAGTAAGTTGAAATGACTGAGGTCAAACTTCACTAGTGCAGGTCCAAAGCTTAGCTTAAAAGTGTACTGAGATGGGGATGTGTCTGGGTTGAACTGTGCCCAGAGCTAACCCGTCGATTCCTGCAGGCCCATCTGCAGCATCTGCGTGGTGGGTGTGAGGTTGCCTGAGTGCAAGAGAATTCACTGGCAGAGGTTTGCTTTTTCGCATGGCAGCACATAAGTATCATGCTCGCACCCGATGGCACTTGTTACTCCGGTAGCTCGCTGTACAGACGGCATGTGGGAGAGACAGTGGCAGCCGGACGCGGAGGATGGGTTGGTCCGTGTTATTCCCGGAGAACTTTGTTCTGTTCGCAGCAGGAGACCATGGAGCCGCGGCGCGAGCGTCCCAGCAAGCCCCTGGGAATCGCTGCGGGGTTGAACACCCAGATGGCCATGGGCTGCTATTTATTCATCCTCCCCCTGTGCCTAGATGGGAGGGACGGGACTGCTTACCGACTGTTCCTGTTCCTGGCTAGTATTGTGATCTGCTGTACCTATTTCTTGTGTAAGAGTGGGAAACTTTTCTCTCTGTCTTATTAAATCTATTTTTCAAGCTGTCACTTAACCAGGTCTAGTGACAGAGTCGGATGTTTATGTGGCCCTGGACACTTGAACTCTGGTGTTTTCAATCACAACAGCACCTTTTGCCAGCCGTTGTGAATTAAATACTCCTCGTGACCTTTTACCCTCGCCGCTCTTAAATTCATGCTTTAAAAACAGCTTAATGAGGGGTTTACTGGCCCAATTGGAAGTTTTTATTAAAACCTATTAGTGTGCTAGAGTAGCCTGCCTGAAGGAAACGATTAGCCCAAAGCAACTAAACTCGGAGCTGGCCCCTAGCCACACCAGGTTTTCTCTAAACTGTTTCCAGACCCACGTTAACCCTAACACTGCAGCTTGCATGGTATTCATATCCTCTGCTTTAATTTATAGCTTGTCTGATTCTCTCCCCAGCCTTTCTCCATGTTCACGAAAGCATTTTGTTTTAATGTAATTAGACCTGCATTAAAAGGCTACATGCCTTCATTCAGG